AGTCGCTGTGTTCTTTCGTCCTTCACTGTGATAGAGAGCAGGGTCACGACGAGGAGAGGCTGTGTAGATGTCTTTGTTGGACGTGTGTTACTGAACAGGAGATTGCACTTCCTTTCTTCAAGTTGCTTTATGTTGTTTTCTCTACCGCATCAGAAATTGAAGGACAACATATAGAGCGCACGCTGACCAATCACAGCTCTCTGGTGCTGTAAATATGTGAAAGATTCAAACTATAAATATAAACGTCTACGGTGTGTCCTTGAGCCTTGAGCTTCAAACTGAAAATAAAAGGCTTTTTCATCTGTGGTACATATTGATGGAGACAGATTGATTGAAGACAATTTCACATTTTAGAATCATGAAGTGTATCTAATCTACCAATTTGTGCGTCAACCCTAAACAAGAACAAACTAAAATGTCTGCAGCAGAGGGAATCACAATAATGGATTCACTTTTCAACGACTCTTTTCAAAAGGGGCTCAAGTTCTATACAAACAGCGAGTGATACATAACCCTGAAGTTAGCATGGCTGAAAAGGAAAGGATAAAACAGCTTTGAAAAGAGGAAACGCATCCCTCCGACAGAGTGCTGTCCTTCTGCACAGTGAGAGAGCCTAGAAAACTACCTGGGCGGATTCAAAAAACCTTGGCATGCTCAACACCACTGAAGCAGTTACCATGGTGATGGGAAGAAAGGAAAACACCGCTGCTACCTTGGATGTGAGACACACACATATTATACACATCGCCTGCTGTCCCGCCAACAGAAGCCCCCCATCATCTCTTATATATATTTTAGTAGTAATTGTCTCCTGTATTTTGGATGCCCGTGTAGAGGTTATATGTGCACTCCACCTTCATTGACGGCCTGTACAAACAGACGGCAGTGTGTTGGGGGTTTGTACTGTATGTCTTGACATTTCAGCGCTGGTATTGATCTGTATGTGGACAGTGCTTTCTGCACTTTCATCAAGATTACATCAGTATCATGGCAGTCCTGCAGCTTCCGAGCTATACGAAGCAGAACAGGAGCCACAGTGGGTGTAGCGTGTGTACCGGGTGTGTCAGCAGTGATTATTGATGGCTGCTTAAAGGGAGGATACACTGTAGCCGATAGTATGGATTGATACCCTGTGTTTGGTTTTTGTGTGCATGGCAGCAATGGGAAGTAATTACAATCTTCGAGATGACAGACAATCACAGAGAGATGGTGATTTGCAGTGATAATTGTAGTTTTGCTCAATGAAATAAATATATACCAATTACCCATGGTATTTGATTGTGTCGAATGCACAGGGTTGCGAGGATTACTTAAAGATGTATCGAGTTATAATTACAAGTTACCAGGACAAAACAATTATTTAATGTTTTAATTTAAATCATCAATTTAGCGCAAACACAGTATTTTTGTTTAATAAATAAGGTGTCCACCTACTGCATTTAAAAAATATATATTTTAAATTAAAAAAGAAGAAAAGTAGCCTGAATAAAAAACAAAAAGAAAATGCAGGTAATATGTCGGCCTTAAATGTATTGATCTTCATTTTAAAATGAATTGTAACATTGTATTCCTGCTAAAAAAATCCCTATTTAAAAAAGAAAACTGTAACAGTAATCTGATGTCTTTTTTTATGTAACTTTAAGGAAATACAGTTACCTTTTTTGTATCCTGATCACGTAAATCCACTACATGTAATCTGTTACTCAACAAGCCTGTGAATGAATGTAGTTAACATGTGTTTTTGTTAAGATAAACATTTCTAAATGTAATATAGAATCACATGTTGTATGTGTCAAAAGTCACACATAGCACATTTCAAATATTTCACATCAGCTATATCCTGTGCAAACACCAATTTCCCATCTTTGCTATTTATAAGGTAACGCTATTTCACAGCATTATATGCATGATAGATTGCTGTGATGTGCATACAGTAACAGATATAAATGATATACATTCAAGCTTTTTCAAATCTTGTGGAAACATCAGTTTCATGAGACATTTTCTAAATGCACTATGATCTATAGAAACAGCCTTACCATGTCAACTATAAAGTCTCAAAAGGCATTTGTAGTATTTCCATATACGTGGGGTTTAGCTTTTTTGTGTCATATTAGATCATTATAAATAAACATGTAGTATTTCATTTTCAAATAGAAATGATTCTGCATTAACCGCATTTAATTTGCCTTTTGTTAGTGACGTAATTTTCACATATCAAATATGTCACAGATTCACGGACATTTCAAATGTATGGAAGATAATTAGGGCCATTTTCATACATTTACACCAAAAGTGATATTTGTTTTTTAGTTCTGAAGCCGGAATGAATATCAGAACAACATTATTTTTCTTTTGGTCAGCTCAAAAAAACAACGACACATTTGGCCCTTATCCTCTTCCATACATATGTGATACTGTGCGGATCTCACGTGTGTTTTGTGTTTGAAAAGAAGTACATACATTGAAACAAAAGTATTTACATGATATGACTTCATATTTATGTACATATATTATATAATGTATCAGAATGCTGAGGTCTCAATGTGTTGCTCATTACTCTAACCATCCTCACAATACTGTGCAGAGAAATCATTATCCTAAACGTCTGTCTACTACGATGCAAATGTGTGATACACCGTTAAGGAACGCCTTTTTGTTTTTCTTGCTGCTCCTCGAGAAAAAGAACAATCTCTTTGTTTCTTGCTTATGCAAACACCTCAAAACCTGTTAAAACTCAGCTCGTGAAATGTGTCAAAGCTGTTAGCAATCTTTAATGTTTTTTTTCTTTCAGTCATGGAACAGTTATATTATAAACAACACCTGTCTGACGATATATTTCTGGATTTATTTGTCTGAGAGAGTCAGGAGAGTCGTAGAAATGAGGGACGAGGACGAGCATCTAAGGCTAACAGAGACAGATGGTGCAGGAGCGGAGGAGGAGGAGGAGGAGGAGGAGGAGGAGGAGGAAGCAGGGAGCGAAGCATGGAGGAAAGAGGGGAGAAGGACACGGTGGAGGAGACGCTCAGTAGGCGGGAGGCAGAGAAGAGCAGTATTATTATTATATGTCTTTAGGACCGTGCATAAGAATACATTGAGATGCTAGATGCCAGATTAGAACTAAAAGCACACACACACTGAAACAACTGAAATATTGACTTTAATTAAATGTATTAGGTCCACACATTTCACACATATTAAGTTTAGTTTAGGTTCAACTTAATATTATTGTTTTCAACCAACCTAATACAGTTTTGTGAAATCTGTTGATGTATTACATTTAATTAAAGTCAATGTTTCAGTTTTTTCAGTGGATAACAATCAACAAACATTAAAACATTTCCTAGTGCCTATCACACAAACAATTAAAACAGATCAAAATACATTTGTATAAATATTAAGACAAGCACATTTGTTATTATAAATATAATTTCACAATTAATTTAATCTAACATCTCAAATTACAGTTCAATAAAATCTAAGCAGATTATAAACACAGCCGGAAGCATATTCCAATGTTTGATGTCCGTAAAGAGAAAGCAGATTGTGCAAACGTAGAGTGCCTCAGTTGGTTGAATCTGCGTTTAGGGCAGATTTTGAAATCTTTTGAATTCCTTTGTTGTCATTGTACAGGTACAACGATATTAAAAAGCTATCCTGTCAGTGCATAGTAAGCTACAAAATAAATAAAATAAAACAAAGATATTATGTAGCCATACAAAATGTATATACTTACATACATACGATAAGTAACTGCAGTTCAAATCACAGTGTTAGTGACATTTGCATGTCAGAGTTGATCTCTTAATAAATAATTAAACAGATAACAGCAGGAATAAATATGTGTTTATGACAATTTGTAGGGCAGTTGCAATGAGTCTGTACTAGGGCTGCACGATATTGGAAAGAACTGATATTGCGATATTTCTTCCCCCTGCGATATATATTGCGATATGAACAAAATACAGGAATTGAAGAAAAGACCGTTTTTTTTGTCCGCAAACCATCCTCTCTTGAACTTTAATGCTAAACAATTGGTATTTTTCTAACTATATTTAACCGGATGAAGGATTTTAGTCACGGACGTCTGGATCTTAAGTTATCAGGGCAACAAGCTGAGCTAGCTCGGTTAGCAGCGCCGAACTGCCCTGGAGAAACACATGAAACTACTTTATTCAGTGTTTCTACCTTTAATCACCGGGTCCGTTTGTTTTGGAGATTTGATTGTGATTGGTGGTTTGCTGTGCATGCAGAGCCGGCATGTCACACACTCAAGTACCCCTGACATGAGAGCCGCGCCAGTTTTCCTTTTGTAGCAAGCAGCAAAATAATTGTAACATGACGTGTTTGAGTTCATTTGCCTACTTAATATCGCACTTAAAACATTTTTCTTTTTAAATCGCATGTCCTGCGATGTGAATATTGCACATGCGCATATCGCGATTATCGTCACAACACGATATATCGTGCAGCCCTAGTCTGTACCCGTATGCATTATAGTGCTAGTTCAGATTTAGTTATCTTATTGCTCATGATCAAGAGGTTCTCCCCGTTTGTTCGGAGCTCGAAAAATCTTCTCAATGGAGGACAGTATCAAAGAAGACATGGGTAATCTCCCCAGCTGTTGGTGTGAGCAGAGGGGACGGCGCTCTCTTTTTGTGTCCGTCTATCAGCATCTCTTATCTTATTGACAAAGCGTGCGGTGTCCTGAAAGCCGGGCCCGGGCCCAAAGCCAGCCTGCTGAGCCTGAGAGGAGCACAGAGTCATTGATATGGGGGATTATCTCTTATTATGGTCATGCCTCACTTTGCACCCAGCCTACCTCACATCACACACACACACACACACACACACACACGCTTTACTCCTCCAGCCAACGTGCACCTCCAAAGCCTATCTCACACATCAGACACCCTTCAGATAGGCCTTATCTGAAGGTAAAAGATGCCAAGTGCCGTGGAGACGTGGAGACTCACCCCCTCCTCTTTTTCACTTGACAGGAAGAGCCATATGTGATGTTCAAGAAGTCTGACAAGCCGCTGTACGGGAACGACCGCTTCGAGGGATTCTGCATAGACCTGCTGAGAGAGCTGGCCAGCATCCTGGGCTTCACGTACGAGGTCCGCCTGGTGGAGGACGGGCGTTACGGCGCCCAGGACGAGAACACGGGCCAGTGGAACGGCATGATCAAGGAGCTCATGGACCACGTGAGTCTCTTATATATTCATTAAAGACAATGCATGAATATGATCCAAGCAAACAGATGTTAAGTTCAGACCAGTGGGTGTGATTATATTCTACATTCCAAGTCGATTGAAGAGGTGTGGAGAAGTTTGTCCCATCTGGGGAATACACAGGATGAAATTAATAAAACGTATTAAATTATATGTTTGGTATCTATTACAGCAATTATTGGTTTAACAGTGGATTCAGGCTGTTATTTCCTGGACATTACCAGTACTATCTTTGGGTTTTGGACTGTTGATTCAACAGAACAAGGTATCAAAATGTAGAATATATTATTGATCCAAGTGCAAAAATAAGTGCAAAAATAACAGCTGTCACAAAAGAATCTATTAATTGGATTTTCCTTTTTTGATTTCTTATGTTTTTTTCCCGTCTTTATCGTATTGAAACAAATATTTAACAGATTATAGGAATAATTGTGTGTTTTGGATCCATTTTGTTCAAATGGAATTCACTCTAAGATTGCTCTTGTGTTCTATGTCAAGAACAGGTTTTAGAAAATGGAAATGTTGATGTTGACATGTTGATGCTACATATGCTGGCCAATAAATTGGCAGAAGATTTGCAAGTCATGTGCAAAGCATATGACTTTGCACTTATAGGGCCCAGACTATGTGCTAACAGTGAGAGTGTTATACGTCTTATAACATCAGCAAGGTCTTGCAAACTAACAAACAAAGCAAACTAGATGTCCTTATTTCCCACTACAGTACAGAAACAGTAGTAGTGAAACTAGTACAAAGAGCTCTTTTGTCTGGTTGTGTTTGTCCTCTAAAGCTCTGATGACCTGTCCTATATGTCTCCCTACATCCCAGTACATCGTATAAAGTTTAGTGCAGCCATCCAAACAAAAGCAGAAAGTAGGTAAAGAAAATAAATGAATGCTTTGATTTAGGCTCCAGGGGGAAAATGGTCAGTTTAGTAGCGAGAGTATACTTGATGAGTGGAGAGAGAAAGAGGGCTTTAAATGTCTCGCTAAGTGCCTTGGGACAGACTCTGTAGTGTGTAAAGACCCTGCTTTCTTAATTGGATTCACCTCAAGTATGTTGTCTAGTTCTGTGTCAAGAACACGTTTTTTTTCATGACTTGTACATTAGTGTTTATTGTCATATCAACATCTATTACCATCGAAATGTTTGAAAATTACCCAAAAATAAGATGTAGCATAATGACGGATATTTCACTGAAACTCACTGAGAGGAAAAGTAGAAAAAATCATCTGAAGATAACAAGCAGCACTGTTTGAGGGTACAGTGATGCGAGGAGAGCATAGATTCTGTGCTCGCGCGTTTCCCCTACAGAGCTTATTAAAACACACACACAAACACACACAAACACACACACACAATCTGCCGGCAGTGTAGATCATTACAACCGACAAAGTCTCAGAAAGGATAAACTGCATGGGCATAGAAATAGCAGTGCTGCATGGCCAATGGTCAACATGTGACCCAAGAGGGGTCAAGTCTCCCCTAACTGCCTCTGCTCCTGATCAGTGGAGTCATTGGCCGCTGTGACACCGTCTGCTCCTCTCATGGTGAAGGGCCCAATCCCCTGCCACATGATGTTCAGTGTGCGCTGAACAGGGTGCGGGATGACAGGGAAAGATGGTGATCACAGCGGACAGGCCCTCAGATCAGAAGGAGTTTGTTTGGAGAAGACATGCTGAATTTAGAGCTGAACAAGTTGGATACACCCTGTCAGAGGACTTTAGCAAAAAGATCTTTCTGATGTTCAAAGTGGAGATAACTTTGTGGAGGGTTGTGTCAAAGATGCCTCGACTATTTTTCAGAGGTGGGAAGTAACGAAGTACATTTACTCAAGTACTGTTCTTAAGTCCTTGAGTATTTCAATTTAATGCTGCTTTGTACTTCTACTCTACTACAATTCAGAGGTAAATCATGTACTTCTACTCCACTACATGTATTTAATACCTTTAGTTACTTCACAGATGTGGATGAATGATGTGAAATATAATCAAGTGTTAAATCAGACTTTAGTTCCACCTGGAGTAAATTCACAAGCTACCCTGCAGTATACAAAGTCATTCAAACTAGCTGCACCTTTACCAGCTTTGAGAACACTTTCATGATCAATCATTATAAAACATATCATATATATTATTCTGAAATGGGCTTATCTGCAGAATGAGTATATTTTACTTTTGTACTTTTACTTGAGTATCATTTTGAATGCAGGGCTTTTACTTGTAACAGAGTATTCCTACACTACACTGGTATAAGATTTGAGTACTTCTCCCACCTCTGCATTTGTTACATCCCAGCTGCTAGCAGGAAGCTTGCTCCGTTCATCTTCGAGTGATATATGGCAACCTTCATAAGACAAAAAGGATATATCTTTGAGAAAGGAACCACTTGACCTTGCTGTAAATGTTTAGCATTTATAGTCACAATGCAGCTGGAGATTTATTAACTGTCAACAGAACTGCATGGTTTTCACCTCAGATATGGTAACATGACTTTCCTGGGAAGGCTCTATACATCCCCCTCTATATCTCTAACGCACATGTCTCACATATAATCACGACTTCTGCGCTTGCCAGAGAAGGGATTATTCAGTATTATAAATAACTCCGGGAGAAATCATGTTAATGCTCAGTGTTAGGAGAAACAGTTGCGTGTATATAGAGCAGATTCAGATTTGTTTGCCACTGCAGTTTATCAAAAAGAAACATGCACTACATTTGATGTAAGTGTTGGATGTGAATTCAGTTAATTAAAGCAATAGTTCCTTAGTGAGTGCTATATTGCGCAAGAAAGCTAAGCTTGCAGCTACAAAATCTGTCTCTGATTGCTTTCATTTGATGTTACAGGGACGTATTTGGATGAAATAAAGAAGTACAAGCTTTAAAGTGGTGCAGTGATGGCTATAAGATATTTGTGTTGACCAACCGGGAAGTCGCAAGGACTCCGTCGACAAAAAGCAACGGGATTTTCCAAATTGGATGATGGTATATTACAGAAAAGAAGCTCAATGTCAAACGCTCATGTATGATACTTAAAACGTTTTGTTTAGCAGGGTAATATCCATATATTCAGACGACTTTGTGATTCTTGAAGCAGAAATACAATATCTGCATCAACACCGCTAAGCTTAAGGCAGACTTGTGTCAGCGTGATGAGGTTTGTTAGTTTATTTAGTCACTTGTTGGCAACCACCATTTTGATGACACAGAAGCTTCAGACATTCACCAGTGTGGTATTTACTGACGTATCTTATGTTGTCGAACAAAACGAGGAAATATCTTCAACTTCTGTCAACCACTGATCTTATTTCAGGTGTCTAAAGAAAAGCCCAAACCGTTAACTTCAAGAAAGGAAACCGGAAGTTGTAAAATGCTAACTTATTTCAGCGGTATAGGACTTGTTCCTCCACCACTCTATTTCAGCCTGGATTTGTAGTCTCTGTCTATACGGGTAGCAAAAACAGAAATATTTTTTGTATGGCAAACTAGAAAAGTTGTCAACAGTTAAAATGGCATCCCAAAAATATGGATGTACTGGATAGGGATACATTTTACAATGGAACATTTCATTTGACTTTTTCAAGCGTTCAACCGGAGAAATTACACAAAGAAAGACCGAGGCTGCATTGTCCGTGTAAGAGGACCCTCTGTGTCAGAACCTCACTTTCTTAGTCAATATAGCAAACACTATTTTATTGCTTCAATTGATTACACCATCACCACTGATTGGACTAATCTAGACTGCATACAAGGTGGAAAGTATTCCCTTTAACAAACCCTTAACTGTAACTCTCGACAAAAGATAACCTCAGATATAGCAGTTGTCAAAGGATCTGCTTTTGTTTTGCTTGTGTTTGGTTGGTTGGTTAGTAACTGGACCAAATGATGGCATTGTTTAGAAGGTGACCTGAAATAAGTTCCAGGTTCTTTTGATGTGTATTAGGGTTAAGTGCTGCAAAGAAGGTATGGGTCATCAATCAAGAATGACTAGAACAGTAACCAGCATTTCACCAATGCATCTTTAGCTACCAGAAAACCAACACTTGGGGAAACAAATCTATGTTGTATGAACATTTATGGAAAGAAACAACCAAAACAAGTACTACCAAAAATGTAAGTTTGGAAAAAACAATGTCATTAGTTTTTGTAGAGGGAAAGCCATTCAGAGGGAGCAGGTTCAGTAGATAAGACATTTAGCAGAAATACTTCCAGGTGGTGCCAGGCACATGATTTGATTGATATGCCCTGCCATGGCATATCAAGTGTTTTACATATTTATGTACATTATAATGAAAATCAAAGACAAAAATATTCAACATTGCAGTAATTGATGTAGGAATAACTTACTACCAAAGCCACACAAGGTTATTAATAGTGCATGTCATTTTAAACCTGGGGAATGGGTGGAAGTTCTTGCAGTGGAAAAGTAGTATAGCTCTCTGCACACACACAGCCAAAGACAAACAAAAAAAGAATGTGAGAATAGGTCTCAAGTTAATTGCTTCCAAAAACATTATCCACCCTCAATAACTACCCACGATGTAAATGTCAGAAGTATTATCAACATTTCAAATGATAAATGTATTAGTTATTTTCAGTCTGCTTGGGAATAAGAGTTGCAACTGTGGCAGTGCATTGCATAGAATATGTTTCAAACACTGAGTAGATGTAGCATGGTACATGGACTGCCTTTGTATGGGCTTCTCACAGCTTTTCCAACACATTCACCATTCACCCATACAGAGGCAGGTTCAGGGTGCCACCAGCTCGTCAGGAGAGATTACTATTCACATATCATTGGCTATACCTGTGGGAGAACATTAGAGTTCAGTGTCTTGCCCAAGAACATGCAACCTGTTGGGCAAGGGACCGGGATCAAAACCCCCAACCTTCCAACTGAAAACAAACATCGCTACCTCAAGGTCCACAGAATTGGCATGGGTTGTAGAGATATTCAAATATATACAGTACCGTTGACTGTTACACAATGAGCTAGGAGAAGTATATCCTTATCATATATTTTCTTCTCTCTGGGTGGATAAGTACTCTCCAAAAATATCTAATATTTAGGATTTTTGGTGAATTTGTCAGAATATGACTAAAAGCTTGCTGAACAATTGTATCATTGAGCAGTAAAGAGAAAAACACACCGGTTTGCTGAGAGGTGTTGTGTTTGAGGTGATGATTGGATGCCTTACTGACAAAGTCAAGGTGCAGTAGACAGAATTTACCAATGCACGATGCTAATCTAGTACCAATTCTGTTTCTTTATTTTTTTTGTAAAAGTGGTGTATCAAGGACGCAGAATCACAGAGTGCAGGCACTTGGCAAGAGTCTGAATAGTCTGAGTAAAGAGTGCTTTGTCCATGTGTTCTTTATCTCGTTGGCCACACCGGAAAGCAGAACTGGTTTGTTCTATCATTCATTGTTTTTTGGAAACAATGTTAAAACAATCCAAAATATGTTGTTACTGAGTGTCAAGGCCTAAGAAGGATTTAACAATTGTGACTACAAGCAGATTCCAACAGTTAATACTTCTCCATTCTATACTGGGTGTCATGATTATTAAGACAGGGTCCAATAAAGTTATGCTAAAATGTTCTCAATAGTCATATGCAAGGCATCCGGTTTTGCCTTTTTAAGTCAAAGTACGTTGCTGTTGTACAAGAATATCGTGGACCAGACTGGACTTATAGTCTAGAGTTTTGTCATATGAGGTTTATCCTGTTAACAAGACCTTACAGTCCCTACAGTCCAACAACCGCATCGAAATTATTCCAAAGTCTTCGCTCTAGTTTTGTTTGTCCTCTAAAGCAATGGGGAGCTCTTCTATATGTCTCCCCACATCCCAGAGCATCGTATAAAGTATAGAGCTATGATAGTCTACAGATTGCACCTATCCCAACAAAAGCAGAAAGTAGGTATAGCAAATAAATGAATGCTTTGATTTAGGCTCCAGGGGGAAAAGGTTGAGTTTACTAGCGAGAGTATACTTGATGTGTGCAAAGAGAAAGAGGGCTTTAAATGTCTTGCTAAGTGCCTTGGGACAGACTCTGTAGTGTGTAAAGACCCTGTTTTCTTAATTTGATTGCCTCTAAATCCTTCCTGTGCCTCTGACTTATAGCCTATTTCTCTTCTGTTTTTATGTTTCCTGTTGACAGAGAGCTGATCTTGCAGTGGCTCCCCTCGCCATCACATACGTGCGAGAGAAGGTTATCGACTTCTCCAAACCCTTCATGACGCTGGGTATAAGTATACTGTACCGCAAGCCAAACGGGACCAACCCTGGGGTCTTCTCCTTCCTCAACCCCCTGTCGCCCGATATCTGGATGTATATTCTGCTGGCTTACTTGGGTGTCAGTTGTGTGCTGTTTGTCATAGCCAGGTAACATGCCACTTCCAGTGATCACAGCCTCACACACAGACAGAAACATGCTTAGCTTCCATCACTTAGCCCCGCCCATCGGACTAACAGCAGGCCCATCTCAGTAATCACAGGATCTGCATCCTGAGCACTCTCACACAGTAAAAGCCTTCCACTCAGTACTGACACTAATCAACAGTCATGTATCAAATCTCAGCCCTAACACCATTGCTGTGTAAAATGCTAAATGCCGTTTAACCGTTAAGGATCACATGAATATTTGCCTTTTTCAAGTTTCCAATTCAGTTGGTGCTTGGCTGCTGGGTTACTCCTGGCCAGAGGTCGCGTTAACAGAATATTTTCCGTCCTTTTGACAGATTAGAACAAACTCGGAACAGCGCCAAAGTTTCCCCGCAGCGAGGCTCGGGTGTTATGCCGTGTTATGCATGTCCGCCAAAAAGGAAATGATACCGTTTCCAAACCTAACTTTGCCGTACAAATCATTTAAATGTCTGCAAGTTTTTGCTTTACGCTGTGCGCGCTCCAGCAAGGTGCAGTGGGCTACACGGCGCTAACAGTTCACGCCTCCCCCCGTTGACAGTTCACGAGCGTGCTCTCTCGCAACCCCCCCCCCCCCTCGTCAGAGTTGTGTAAAGGCCGTCGGGTAATACTGGATTTTGACGGAAATGTTACGATCCTGTCCGTCAAAATGACGGGCAGCAAAAAAGTCTAGCGCAACTTCTGCTCCTGGCATATGTTTGGTATCAGTAATGAAACCACAGGAAATTCATACACACACAATTAAACCACCAGACCTTAGATAGAGAAGTTGTAGGCCTATCAGCCGTTCAAGGGTTGTGTGTACATGTCAGAGAGAGTGGCAGAATGCTTGTGCTCTCATATGGATATGTGTTGGCGTAAGTGTGTGTGGGATTTGTCAAGCTCGGTGTGAACACTGCTGCCCTTCTCCCACCTTTCCCTCACTATCCCCAGTGTCTCAGAGTTCATTCTTTTTCCTTCACCTTGCTTCAAGCACGACAACTGGAAAACAAACGTCAGAACAACAATTATCTGGTTTAAAGGAGTTTGTGGCTGTCACCTCACCCCATTAATTGTAAAGCTTCCAGGTGTTCATAGCCACTGGCAATCCTTATCTAAATATACGTTTACAGATGACTTTCCTATGCAGGCTTTTAAAGGCGTTGTGTTTTGTTTTACCCCACCAAATCAGACATTTGGGGTTTTTTCTGTAAATGACTCACTTTGTCACTTCTGCACCTAACTTTTTTTTCTTAAAATTGGAGCTATGTTTTACAATTGTAGGTCTCTCTCTGCAGTTAATTGTTTGCAGTTCAAATGGCATTGCAAGTGTTTAAAGACAATAAACCCAAGTGCTGCAAAGTTTGTTTGTAAAGAACATTCGCTAAGAAGTGCTAGAACTCATTTGTAATTGGATTTGTGGTTTTGGTAATTGAAGGCAAAGAACTCTGTTCATTTGGTCTTTTATGTATCTGATTTATCTTGAATACATTGGATTAGTAGGTGTTGTATCTATCAACACAAGCAGCTCTTTATTACAGTATTTGCTTCTGTGTTTATCCACTCAACAGTTTAATTATGTACCTTTAAGAATCCTGTGGCTGATGAAACCATCTAAAATCTGATTTGCACAAGTTGTCTTTTCTTGACGGTTGACTCGTGATCTCGTGGTTCTTGCTTGTGGCTGCCATTTGAAGCATGGTAAAGAAAAAAAGAGGAAAATAAGTTCATGTTAACTCTAAAACTTTCAGGAGACATCGGCTCTCTTGCAGCCGTGACCTGACAGTTTTACCGTTAACGCACATGTGTTTTCTGATGTTACTGGCAATATGATCACACACGAAAATAAAAAGCGGCAACTGTCATCTAAGTTGGCTCAGAATATGCACCTATCTGTATATAATATCATTATAAGTAAGTGTTTGGGTAAGTGTATGAATTCCCCCCTTCACTTTATTCCTTCTTTTTTCCTGTACACACAATGCATGCTGGGCTACAGCTGCATGTGGTTGATGTAGAGTGTAGCATAAGCACTCTCACTGAATTAGATGAAATGTGAAAGGCAGATTACGTAATGTGAACAGAAGAGATCACATTCCTCTACCGTTATATATGTGACAAGAGCATTTTAACATGTCTTGTCAGGTGATAAGAGCCTCTGTGGTTGAACTACCCTGGTAGTGTACACGTCAAATATCTTCCTCCCCCGTGGCCATGCAAATAGTTTTGGTGCCTTGGTTGAATAAAATGGAGATGACTGGAATTTAGTTTATACTGCTCACCACAGGAATTCAAAAGGCCCAAATCTTATTGGAAAGAGTTTCCCTGCTGTTCTAGTCAACAGCTGTCACTGAGGCTACATTATACAGAAGAAATGCCCGTTTAAAACACCACTATACTATCTACATCGATAGACTCAACAAGGGGTAAGAAAGTGAACCAAATCTAAAAATACAATATGCTAGCATATGGTTTTATCATGATTGACCAAGAAGGAAAACTGGTTTGTTGTTCATGGTTCAGAATTCGATCAGTAAAAAAAAAAAAAAAAAAAAAAAGGAACTTGTGCAGTAGAAGAAAATAAAAGACAGTCAAAAGTGTACTGTATACAATAAAATACTCTTGATAGATAAACTAAAATGTTTAGGACCAGTGACTGAAACCAGTGAATACAGTTATAGGTTTTAGGTCTATACTGTCTGTATGATGTCTATACTGATCAATATCATCTTGAAATATGTTTTCCAACAAAACTGCCAAATTAAACGGCTAAATGTGTGCTTTTTGATTGCATTAAAAAAGGACTCATATTAGTGTTCTAGAGAACACTAATATGAGTCTGATGCCCTATGGAAAGAAAAGTGCCTTTAACCAACGATTTGGTAAAAGTTTGGTCAGGTTAAGGCACAGTAACTATTTTGTCAGGGACATATAAAGGGATAATGTGAGGGCTCAACATGGATAACCTAGCTACTTGGTTGAGCATAGGGGACGATTATAGTTTAGTTTTTTTTTTTTTTTGTAACCCCCCTACCACCGCACCTTAACCCTACCAAGCTTTGTGTCCCTGAACAATGTCTCACTGTTTTTGCTTTTGATCTATGCAGAACAAGTAATCCATCTCAAGGTGTTATTACCCACTAAACTGTAAACATACATCAGACATTTGCATAAAACAGGCGCAGTGATATTTCTTTGGACAATCTGCTTATTTACACTCGTAAAAAGGTGTATTGACAGCATGCCCTCCATTTAATCCTTTAATGGTGAGGAAATGTATTTCTCCAACTTCTGTTCACATTCATCATTTGTATGTTTCAAAGTCAAACTAATTTCATGAAACTTTGTGAGACTAAACCGTCTAGTATAGTGAAGCACATACAATTGACAAGGAGTTCCACTGTGCATTAATATACTGTTTCTGTGTGTGTACACATTACACATTTGATCTATGTATGCTTGTGTTCGTGCTGCGCTGTGTGACTGACTGTTGGTACGAGTGAGAGACAGAACACTGGGACTGACGTACACACAGTTAGAGCAGCTTCTCCTCGCCACCGATAGGCCTATTCCACACGGGTGCACTGCTAACACCACATGATCCCTCTGTTGTGTTGCCACCTGCCCTGATATCTCCAGTTACTGATGTTAATGTCACCGGTTATCGCTTATTTTATGTTCCTCCTAATGACATCAGTCGCACTGCTGCTGCTTCTGGCGCAGGTGACGAAACAAAAAAACCTTCACAGCACATCACACCTCTGCTAAAGCCTGTGCATTAACACCTTGTTACACTTTGGGGAATTCCCTACATCATACACATGAAGGGATTTTATTTGCGAAAAGCAGAGGCTACTAGTGCAGAATTATAATTTTTCTATATGAATATTACTCATAATACTGATATGAAGTTCTCTCTTTCCTTAAATCAAAGTGTCTTTTGAATATTAAACATTTAGTTAATGAGTGCTCATATTAAAGGTACAGTACATCATGTGGTTTGAATGCTCCTCTGAATCCCATGCACCTTTTATATTTTTTTCAGAATCTTGAGGCAAAAACACAACTGAGGTATAAAGTGGTGCAGTGATGATGTATTTTTATAGGCCGACCAAGGAGTTAGCATCACATAGGGGTCCCTCATCAAAAAGCAATGTGATTAGATTTTGTTTGATGTACAAAAAAAGCTTATGATACATATATATATTGGCAAGAAATCTACAAGAGATTGTACAGTGCATCAGAGAGATACAGTACGTCCACGTCTGTCACCACCTTCGCGCGTAAATGCAATCGCCATAAGTAAAAAAGCTAACCTTGTGGCTGCGCATCAGCACCGCTAAGCTAAAGATTGCTAATGTTCGTCGTGATGACGTGTATTAGTTAATTTAGTCACTGTTTAATTACATTTTTTATTTTCTAGAAGGGAAATGTGTAATTCTATTAGACTTTTAAAAACCAAAGATCTTCTTGGAGGCTTCTTACTACAAACACGTTAAAAAACCAATGGCTTCAAGTGGAATGAATCAGAAGTGGTAAAATGCTAATTAATTTCCCGGTTTCAGGAATCGTTTCTGCACCACTCCACTGAGTCTTAGATCAAATATATACCGTTACCAATACCATGTAGGGCAGCGGTTTTCAAAGTGTGAGGCGCGCCTCCCTGGGGGGGCGCCAGAGCGCTTCAGGGGAGGCGCAGCATGAGAAAAAAAGAACGAGAACAAGATGAGTAAAGTGTCACTTGCACACTTTTGGCTGTCTGTGGAGACCAAGTTCCCCCACCTCGCCAAAAAGGTTGTAAAAGTGCTCATTCCCTTCACCTCCACCTACCTGTGTGAGTGCGGGTTTCCCGCATTGACTTTGATCAAAAGCAAGTACCGGTCGGCTGCAGCCAGAGGATGATCTCCGTTTATTCCTGTCTACATTGCATCCCCGCCAGAGTCCTGCACGGGTCTGATTTTCAAGACCCGCTCCCGCCCCGCACCCGCGACGTGCAATACCGAAACCGCCCCGCCACCCGCACATATTGCCAATTAGTTCCGCAAACCGACCCGACCCGTCGGCACAAGATCCGCAAACCGACCCGAACCCGCATATCCTAGGAGCAGTGAAAACATGCAATTATTAACACACGCAGTTGTGTATTTGGCTCAAAAAGCGTGGGATGTTGGTTATTTTCTCCAGGAGGACACCAAAAGCCTCCCAGACGTTGGATTTCGCTCCTGAGGAAGAGTTATTTACAATGCTGTATTCGAATGTGGCGCACTCAGCAGCAGATTGATGCGGTGCAGAGGTTATAATTATGCGCGGTCCCGCGGGGGAGAGGTCTGAGGAATCTTTAAACATTAAATTAAATTATTATTATTTAAATATATATTTATTATGCAACACCCGCGACCCGACCCGCATATTCTTTGTTTTACCCAGAACCGAACCCGGAAAAAAAAGTTTGAAAAAATACCACCCGCGAATCACCCGATGCAGGACTCTGATCCCTGCATGATCCGCCTGTGCGCATCAAAGACGCAGACTCATTGTTCCCAGCACTAAAGTAGGGGTGAGTGTAATAAGGAGGCAAAGTTGATGTTCAGTGTGTTGCCGCAAGCATATAAGGATTTATCCATGAAAATGAAAAAAGATTTAAAAAAAAATGTTTAAAACATACTACTCAGCCAATCAAATCGGTGCAGTCAGTGAGTCAGCACGATAGATTCAAACATACACACAGAGACGAGACAAGAAGAGAGAAACAGTCGGAGTAACTTCAAATGGCGTGCTCAAAAAAGAGAAAGGTAGACAGCGAAAACAGAGCATTTAATGACATTTTCTCTTACTGGACCTCTTTGAAATGCAATTGAATACCCTGCATTATAGCAACAACAACAATAATAATAGCAATAATAATTGGGAGGGGGGGCGTGGCTGTTCTCATGTTCTCTGAGGGGAGGCTCACCTTCCCACACTTTGAAAACCCCTGATGTAGGGTATACCAGAGTTAACTAATATGACTTGTACATATTGGTTGAGCCTGAAAATATTGCCCAACATTTTTTGCCAGTTTTAATTGTAAGTGTACAAAAAATATTAAGCTTGCGATTTTCATTAACATCGTCCAAGCCACACCACCACATATTGTGTTTTTAAATGTAATCTTACTTTCCGATAGTCTCTCATGCTGGGACAGAGCAACAGGACCGTTCTCTCGCTGTTGATTCATCTCCTCTGACATTGGCGTTATCGTGCCCATCATCGCTGGAGCTTTCTGCTGGGTGACCCTGACCCCGTAGGAAGATAAAAGCCTCACATTGTTTCTGCGCTGCTGGTGAATTCCCCGCCGTTTTTTTTTCCGCCCGAGCTTATCTCTGCACTGACCTTGCTCAAAGTTTCTCCCTCTGCAGCACAGATGATCTGAGATAATGTAAGGGCAGTGTAATTGGATCAGAATGACAGCAGGCGAGCCAGGCGAGGCCACAGTGAGAGACGGGTTAAGCCGTGGTGTCTGCTGTAAACGGCAACGGTTTAGCATTCTGTGACCCAACCAGCAGCGGTCCAGCCCGCCACGATCCGGCACATCGCTGACAACTTCGTTCATCCATGTTCATGGCGAGCTGTAATTGGCTTTTCCTGACATGATTGGAGGAAACACACGCGGAGACCTCTGCGCAAGAGATTGGGTCACACATGCCACGGCAAGGTCACAGTTCAGATGAACTCAATTTGGCATTGCAAATTGACAAGCAAGCAAATCTGGGGCAAATTGAGTGAGTGGACAGATTGATTTAAGGCCAAGGATTCTCTTAAAAGAGAAATAAGGGGGACATTCAGGGGTCCTTGAGCTACACCACACAATATCCTCCTGTGTGCTATAGGGGTGAAAAGAAACACCACTGCTAACCACATTATAATGGCAGAGCCCATTAGTCAATGACAGCGTTCAGTTATGATGCTGTCATTTCATCGATACAGCCATACGTCTTCATATAGAGTCGTGTATAACAGTATTCTACCAAGTACTACTGTATTATAACAAAGGACAATGGAATAAAACCTTGACACCCGGCGGTGTAGCACTTTCATCTGCATTATCCTGCGTGCAGATGTTACATGCACTCAAGGTTACCGCTTTGGACTTCCAGTGCAGTAAGTCTACATTATGCATTGCAAATTGATTATTCAAACCCTTGTGTCTGTTTAACAGCTTGAGTCAAGATAGGGCCCCAGTTCCCCCTCTACCCCAGCCCAAACCAAATCAGGTCAGAATGCTTAATTGTAGACCAATCAACCTTTACTAATGTAATGTCACTTTTATTTGATATGAATAAATGAGAAATCTCTCTGCTTGAGGAGTGTGTCGAGTGAAGGGGAGCGCAGGGCCGGCGTGGGCATGATGGGAATTAACCGCTTGATCTGCTGAATATGAATGCGCCTCCAAGATTATAAAGATTATTAGTTCTTTTCTTGGCTGACAATGGAGTTATTTTCAGACCCTATCGATTAAATTACTGAGGGGAACTGCCTTTGATATGAGCACTCCCACATGAGAAGCCACCTTTGGAATATGACTGGTGTTAAAATCGGGCCAAGGATCATATCTTATTACAATTTAACAACGGAAAAGAGAGATTCAGGTGAGCAGACATTTTTGAGGCTTTATTTTGACTAATAGATTATTCAGTAAATAAATCCTAATCATCATTTTACAATAATTCATTTTCTAATTTACTAATCCAGTTAGCAATAGCATTCTAAACTATGTTCACGAAAACATAGCAGTGCTTCTTTATCAGGGACGTGTCCTCCGGCAGGTTTAAAGTGTTTCATATGACTAAGTAACGTTGTTTTTCTCTCTCCTGTCTCTCCAGGTAGGATGACAACTGTGTCTTTATGCAACTGCAATAAACATCTGTGTGTGTGTTCTCTGTTAATGTCACAGGTTTAGTCCCTACGAGTGGTATAACCCCCACCCTTGCAACCCCGACTCGGATGTAGTGGAAAACAATTTCACCCTGCTAAATAGTTTCTGGTTTGGAGTTGGAGCTCTCATGCAGCAAGGTAGACGCCTCTGCCTGTCCCCTTTTTTCTAGCACATGTCCCACTTTTTGCTGGGGGTCAAACCTTGCTCTTGGACCAGGCCCACGACCATGCATGGGGGCCTCTGTGCATGATGCTAGATGCTTTTCTGGTAGAGTCCAGCAGGATAGACTGAGTGGAATTTGAGTGATGTGATTGATGAATGAGGATGGTGCACCTGCATGCTACCCTTTTCCTAACCCCTCCCCTACCTTCCCCCACCTATCTACAGCATTCGAACAGGTAAGTGTACCGCCCCCCCACCCCCCTTCCCAGGATACCTGATATTGAAGGAATGATTGAGATTGAATGTGAATTTAGGCCCGTCTGCCAAACCAATGCCGTATCTTCTCAACTAGTTCGCATCTTAAGACTGAAAAAGAGTTTATAAGAAAAAGGAATGTTATTATTTTAATGATACAATGCATGCCAGAATGAGAGATATGTTGCATTTTTAAATGTTGTCAATGTAACAAATAAGCAGGTAGATGATTGTAGGGCTTGGAAAGCATGGTATAAAGTGTATGTGTCACAGCATCTGGACAGTGCAAATAAATAACTAGCTGCCATAGTTAAAGCTGCTTTAAAGGGTCAGTTCACATCCAGCTATAAAGATTTGTTTTGGGTTGTATACCCCCACGTTTTGAATACCTTTCTTTGACAATAATGCCTTAGCTCTAACGCAGTATTGAACAAATTAATTAGAATATGTTATTAAACAACTTGGTTGAATACTTGATTCTGATTGGTCAATTTGGATATACCAGAGATTGTTAATTCTTTGCTAAAAAACGTTGCTAAGGAGGATAAAGGGACTGTGTGCAGTCATATCAATCCGCAGAAAGAAGCCCGGTCTATGTAACATCCTTGGACAACAAACATTAGCTTTCATTGATCAGAAAACACCATGAAATACTTTTGGAATATTAATTTTTATATTTGTGGAGAGGATAAAACTTTGGATTCATGATGGTAAAACTGTATATATAATACTTTCAAAATCAACTGAAGACCTTATAGTGAAACACAAGGTTTTTTATGAATTAATACCACAGAGTTTGAAAATTATCCTTTTGAATTAAACTATAACTACTTGTGAACGTTTATTTTCAACCATAGAAAAGTTGTTAAAAAAATCAAGGTTAAGTCGTTATTTCAACAGATTTCATTCAGAGGCCCTGAAAGTATTTGTTATTTAATGATATGTTCAAACAGTGTTCCTAGCAGTCTGAATAATCCATTCCAAATTTGGCCTCTACCGTTGAAGTAGGTGAGTGAAAAGAAACTATCCGCATGATAACATACCAGGAGAGGTAAGTTAGAAAAAAATGTTTTGGATGAAGTGACCCTTTAAGTCTATAGACAATCTTTCTTCAGAATAAGTAACTAATAACGTATCCCTTGTTGGCTGGTTGCATGCTAACTTACTGTATACTGCATGCGTACTAATATCCCCAAATTAGCGACTAATATTTCTTACAGATTTGTATTTATTTGAATCCTAGGATGCAAATGATTTGGCATCAAAATGATGGCTGGTTTGACAGAATCCGTGTAAGATCTTTGTAAATGTCATGCATTTTAGCAACTCCGAATAGAGAATAAAGTAGTGTTGTTTGTTTGACCAGCTAGCAGCACATACGTGTAGGGTTGACCAGTTGAGAAGATTTGGCTGAGGCCCAGACGGCGGTGGGATAGACTGACCTCACGGTGTCTTCATGGCACCGTGAGCTCTGCACTGTAGAGAGGCTCCCCTGCCCGGAGGCTTGCCCCGCCCCCCAGAAAACTGTGGGATGTGCTGTTTGGTCATGACGTTACCTTGGGTACATGACAGTCAGCACCAACCAGGCTCTGTTTGGGTCAACTCGCTCCTCTGAGTGGGTTGCCCCTCTTTTCTTTTCTGTTCTGGTTTCTGAGGGGGAAAAGGAAAAGAAGCATGGAGCTGGTAACATGTTTTAAACATACCTGCGTCTGATAACAGAATATGCAGAATCCTCTGCTCACAGAACTGATGAATATGTTTGTGTTCATGCCTGCTACCTTGATTTGTGTTTGTGGTTTTATGAATGGGCAGAGTGGGTGGCTGTTGCCAGTGCTGGGTGACTTCCATACTGTGGTGGAGCTACTTCTGACAGTGTGGATGGCTGGTGGCTAATAGAGTGAGGCAGTGATGACGTAGTTCTAACCCGAACCAAAAGTTAGCATCGCAAGAGCTCCCTCGACAAAAAGGAATGGGATTTTTACATTGGATTTAGATTTTTTTAAGAATATAAGCTCTTTGGCCAACACAAGTTTATGATACTTACACGTTTTGTTCAGCAGGATAATCTCCACACATTATGATAAGATAAAATGTACTTTATTGATCTCAATTTGGGAAATGTTTGCGTTGCAGCAGCAATCACCATAAGTAAAAAGCTAACGTTAGGCTATAAATGAACTACATCACGTTTGCAAAGTTGTATTTCACAACCGCTAAGCTAAAGGCGACTAATGTTCGGCTTAATGATGTTTATAGTTGAGTTAGTCAGTTATTAGCAACAGCCGTTTTTATGACACATAAAAGTATCTAATAAAGATTGGGGTTTTTACTGACAAATGTTATGCTGTAGGACAAAAAAGCTTCATATCTTAAGCTTGTGTTAACCAAAGACCTTATTTTTGTTTTTTAACCAAAAAACTATAAAAAAAAACGTTGACTTCGGACGTGCTAAATAATAAGTAATTCCTGTACCACTCTATGAGAGGTACAACCAAACATTTGTTTTCTAAGGGGGGCTCTGTGTGAATAGCAGTAGGATGGGTCTTTATGTTGAAATCACACAATTATTGCCTAAACTCTAAATAACTTTCAGTTAATGTATTTGTAAAATATTTTGGCATGAGAAATGCCTAACCATATTGCAAATTAGAGCTATGATCCATCTACCAAATACATATTATGTTGAAACCATTCCAGATGTTTGGTTCTTTAAAAAACATCAGATCTGAGATATACAGTATATGTTCTTTAAAACTATTCAGTGATTTAATCAATGTATAATCAACATACTGTGTGGTTTGAAGGCTAAAACTGCCAAATATATCAATGTAACACCCCATAATTAAAAAGTGGCATCATGGTGATACAAAAGAGTAGGTGTAGTGCCATTGCTCCATTATTTGAGCATGCTGACAGTAAACACTTCCAGCTATTGTGAAAAGACAATTGTTTTCATGTTAATGAATTCAACCAATGGTAATTGTATGATATCAGCATGGTGTGTGCAATCAGTTATGATTTAACAGGTAAGTAAGCCAATGTATTCCTAAAAACATGGTGTGCTCCTGGGTTTAAACAGTAGGAGGCATGCCTCCCCCCCCCCCACTCCATGCTGTCATTCCCTCTCCATTGCAGTATCAATAGCAATGGGCTCGGGCTGCAGGTGACTGTCATGTCTCTCGCTGCAGGTGACTGTCATGTCTCTCGCTGCATCCTCCCTCTACTAGACAGCTCACTCAGGGGACAGCGAGAGAGACAGAAAAAGTTTGATGAAAGGGAGTCTCTCACAAAAGGGAGTGGAGTACAGAGTTCTTAACCTCCTATCTCTCTGACTCTTTATCGGCTTTGCTTCTGAGTGAATGTGCGAAATCCCAGCTTTCAATAGCTTAAGCCGCTTGAGGAGAATAGTCCTGATATAGCCCAGTTCCACCTCCTTTTCTTTGGCCAACAAAACTCCCTACCTTATACTCTACCCAGACACACATGCTCCCTAATGCTCTGCGTACATTGTGAGTAAAACTTGAATGTTAAACAGGTACATTAATGGTATTAATGGTACATTAACTGTAAGAGGAACATAAGTAACTAATGTTGTGCAAAGCTAAACAACATTATATTGTTAAACCACCAATAATGTCAGATATGTTTCTAAACCAAATACATTAATTTTGCAAAAATGGCCACAACCAATGGAGTCATTTGCAAGTGAAGTAAATCATTAATATCTTGATATCCTCTTTTTTGGGAACAGAGAGCTGAAGAATCTGAAATGGGGAGAAGTTATCATTTTAGCTGTGTGCAATCCAATTTTATTAAACCCTGTAATAGAATAGTATACTGTCACAGCAATAGTAGTACTGTTAAAGTGATTTGTTTTTTGGTTTTGGGATAAGCCTTATGGCAGTACCAGCTACTTACAGTCCATCCCATATTCTAAGTGACACTAGCTCTCTACCTCTGTGTTAGCACTCAGGGCTAGCTCATGTATCGTTAGCAACCAATCAATAATGACAGATAACAACCTGTGACAGAGGTCTCAAATAGTGAATCTCCAAAAGAGTGCTTTAAATGTTTGTCCAGCAATCAAATTGGCAAGATGAATTCGTTGGCAAACTCAAAAATAACTAGCTAGCAAGTTAGCGGTTAGCTTGCCAGCAGTAGATCACAAGTTCCAGAAGTAACTTTGTCGCAGAAGTGTATTGCCTTCAGCACTTTCTGGCGGAGTGACTGAGTGAATAAATATTAGTTTTAGAAGAGGCGGTGCAGTAATGACACACAGTCACTCAGTCACTAGCACGCAGGAAGCTAACGTCAACCCATGAGGCTGCCCACTCTGCCCACTTTCTGTGAATGTGAGTGTGTGATCCAGGCAGAGTGCTGCCCCCTCCCCAGCCTGATGCTGTCCCGGTCCTCACCACCCTCCTTTGCTCCTCTCGTTCAGGATCTGAGCTCATGCCCAAAGCCCTCTCCACCAGAATTGTAGGAGGAATCTGGTGGTTTTTCACGCTCATCATCATCTCTTCTTACACGGCGAACCTGGCGGCCTTCCTCACCGTGGAGAGGATGGAGTCGCCCATCGATTCTGCTGACGACCTGGCCAAGCAGACAAAGATAGAATACGGGGTGGTGGAGGACGGCTCCACCATGACCTTCTTCAAGGTTAGTTACAACTGGATATCATTCAACTAAATACAGTCTTTTCTTTTTCTACACTGTTGTGTTTCATTGCTCTATCACCCAGAATTTTACAGATAACAATATGGGTATGACAAGGAATATGATCAACTTTGAGCTGTTTGCACACCACCACAGAATTTATACACAGACATTGTTACAACAGTAGCCTACCTAATATTTGACATTGACGATACGAGATAACTCTAAGAGGCTTAACCTTTCTTATGTTTGCTGCGCTATACAATTGATTTAGTATTATACTTTGATTTTGTTGGGGCATTAGATCCTTCATTTACCATATTGCATCTTGGTATTGACTCTCCCTACCTGGTAAAATAGTTTTTCAAACAATAGATGTTTTTTTTATCTGTTCGCAAAAGCATTGTGGCTCAAAGTCAGTTGGTGGACAACTTTCTTCCACAGTAAAATATCTATGTCCCTGATGAAGGCTATGGAGTTTTACCTATTGAGGGTGAAATATCTTGACGAATATTGGAAGGAGTTTTTCTGTAGGGGTTTAGTTCTTAAAACAACCTCGCGAAATATCCTTTAGATTTTCTGACTTGTCTACAGCATGTTATTATTTGCATTATCCAGTGATATTCTTACACTTGCATAAGTTTCATTAAAGCAACCTTTGGATTTAGTAATAATGCGAAACTGAGATGAGGAGATATTGTACTTAATTGGTGCACATTTGTTACACACGGTAAACCAACTACTTCACTAGAAGCTAATGGCTGCTTTGCCCAGTTGGTGTTCCAACCTTATCTTTAACAATCCTTTGTAGCTATATCGGTTAGTTGTATTATTTTCCTACTAGTCGTATAAGATCACATGATAATCAGTTTTTTGAAACCACATGACCTGTTCATGGTCATGAGGAGCTGGAACCAAGCCCTGGATTGGTCACCAATCTGGCTGGTGTTTACAATTTCTTAAATACAGGTCTTTCTTGCTTTGAGGCAACACTGCTAAACACCCAGCCCTCGTGTCACCATAATTAAATACTGCTGTACTCTTTTTTTTTTCGCCAGTGAAATAGCCCCCAGCCATTTTGTTGTTTGAGCCATTGATCCCAATTTGGGATTTGTTTTTGTCACAGCAGCATGCAAACAAGGCATTGTACATGAAATAACAGTGAAATAAAAAATAATAAACATAAACAGTTAAATATTCATATTAACAGTAGAAGACAAACAAAACAGTCAAATATGTACATATTGATGGTAAAAATTATATATATCTCATGCATGCAAATTAGTCGCTTTTCAGCACCTCCCGCTTTTTTAACGCTGATTTGGGTGACTTGTGTAATTCGTGGAGAACCGAAGAGTTTTCGTTTTGGGGGGGGGGGTCCGACTCACGGGCTGACGGACAACTTCTCACTTAAAAACACTACTGAGACCTTTTGCGAAGACGTCATACCATAACCAGGGTTTCCCACACATAGACCTTACTTGGGCGGGCCGCCCAGGTATATTAACAGCCGCCAAAGTATATTTTTGTATCCGTCCGCGAGCACGACGCCATCTACGATCGATTAACTAGTGGACAATGATCCCTCGCTCTACGCCTCCTGTACCTGTTCGCTCTGCCATCAGTTACACGTTGTTGCACATCAGTCATGCGTAAATGCGGCGCAATTCTGCGCTCGCAAGGTCGCAAGGTCCAAGAAAACGAAGATTTCTCACATATTATTATGGCCCACATAGTGAGTACATCACTGAAAATGCACATAAATGTCCTTAATCACTACCTGACAAGCATCTTATGGCACATGTGTAAAATAAGCACTCTTTATTACAGTCAGTGAGATGATTGGCACTGCATGGAGTCCACCATAGAGGTGTATGCTGGAGTGTACCCACTTATAGGTTCACTCTAATAGAGTCATTTAAATGTTCATCAGTCAGTCTTGTTCTGTATTTAGATTTCATGACATTCATGTCAGAAAAAGCTGCTTCACAAAGGTATGTAGAACAGAACCAAATAAAGCAGACATTTTCAGAGCTGCTTGGTGAATGTTCTTATAGTTTTCTGGGTCTACAAGGCTCCAGAAATGTTGTGAGTTTTGCTGAGACTTAAGCTGAACATTATTTTGGAGATTTATAACCTCCATCTCCATCTCCACAGGATTGACACTGAACAGTTCAGCCATCTTTTTTTTCTTCTTCTTCGTCTTGACATTAAAATATAAACCATAATAAATCAATTGTACTGTATAGATCTAGCCTCCCTATATCTGTGTGTGAAAATGGTTCCATCCTCAAAAACAAAAAACTAATACTTCTGCAGTCTAGCTGCAGCTTCTAGCAACGGTCTTCTGTTTAAAAAAAGACACTGAATGTCTTGAATGTGGCATCACACACATGACTTGAGTCTGAACACAGCAAACAACAGGAGTATTTACAACAGCATTATAAAAACAAAAATAGTGCATGTGGGTGCACACTTACATTCTCTGTCTTACTGTTACATAAATCCCATGAATGTATGAGATTAAGTTAGCTTCATTATATCTCAATCAGTGATTAAGTGAATAATAACGTATAATATAATAATCAGGTTACTATCAGCCTGTCACTCATTATTTTCAGGGAGGGGGCGGGGTTTGGAGGAACAGAGGAGACGGTGATCGCGGAAGCTTTGCCTTGCCTTCACAAACTTTACACAAGTATTTATCAACTGAAAATAGCAAGAGGACATTCATACTCTGCAATCCAAGACTTGATTAAATCCACCAAAAACCTGACATGACGATAACGAGTGTTTTTCAAAAAACACAAATCCCTCCCTGTGTGTCTCTGAGCCGCAGCGACAGGGCCTGATTCAGAGCGGGTCATTCTGCTGTTGGTTCTGGACTGGTGCTGGTGGAGAAAGCAGACTGCTCCGTGTGTGGTGCCGCTGTCACGTCTGTTCCTTGATCTCTGCGTCACCGACCAATTTGATATTCGTGTGACAGAAAAAGTTATAAAATTAAAAAACGTTATTGTCCAGCCGCGGCCGAAAAATCAAGAAGCAACCTTACTACGCTATAATCGATAATCGAGCGGCGAGCTACTGAAAAGCTGCCCGCGAGCTACCGGTAGCTTGCGATCAACGTGTTGGAGAGCCCTGGTCTAAGTTATCTCAGTGGGTCTCAAACGGTTTGGTCATCTATGTAAACAAATATTTCCATCTATTTAATATAGTTGTAAACAATAGAAATCCTTCCAATGTGTACTATAGGTCAGTAAAAAAAAACACACAGTTTAAAAGGGGAGTGATTAGTAAAATATGCATAAATAAAAAGAAAGAATGCAGACTAGGTAAGATAAAGATAGGAGAGAGGAGTTTATCAAATATTTGTTATTGGTTGTGAGCATATTCTAATGGTTTTTATATAGTTCTGTTTCATATGAGTGTTGAGAGCTATATCCCAGAGGGACTGCGGATAGAAAGTAGCTCAAAGCTAAATCCGGTATATTTACGCTTGAAATATTTATTGTTTTAAGTGTTCATTAATGTGCAATGTCCCTGCCAAATAAACGATTAAATAAATAGTTTTGCCCTCAAAGAAAACAAATTTCCCGGGGGTGCATGCCCCCGGACCCCCCTATACGATGTGAGGTCCACCCACAAATAAAACAGGTTCACATGGATAGGATACTAGATAAGTTTGCTTAGGGGGGCGCTTACAGTGTGGCCTCTAACACCAAGCTGCCCGTCGTATCCCTATTTCAGGCACTTCAGCCTCGGATGTCCGACCGCCAGGATAGCAAAACGGAGTGTATAGTGTAGTAGGTGTTGGTGGGCTGGTAGAACCCCAGAGCAGTATCTAAACTGCCCCTGAAGGAGAAACCCTGTGTCGTTGGGAGACCCCCTGGTAATTAGGGCAGCTTCAGGACCCACAATCACTAACCCCCAATTTTGATCCCCAGTTATACCAATCAAAACAATGCAAATGTAATATCAAACACAGCCAGAGTCAAACATTAATATCACAGCAGTGATATTACCACATCAGCAGAGCATATGTCATATTTCAACATTAATCAAAACCACATCAACCACAGTAACCAATGTGAAACTATAGTGTAACCTTAGCAGAGTTTCTATTCCCCTTAAATAATTTCAAATCCAAATGATCAACTACTGTCAGCCTTTTCCAAGGAAGGGTGTTCTTACCTCACTCTAAGCCCAAGCAGATACCTTCAGAGACCACGACAGAGACCAGGAATTGGGTCGAAATGTTCAAAGTACAAACTGGTTTTATTAAGGTTTTTAACTAAAATAGAGGATTTACAAGAATCCAAAAAAATAACAAAGACACAAAGTAAAAATGCAAAAGCAACAGGTTCACAAGTTAAATGTCCTAAAGCCGTCTCGTTTCTTCTTCTCCATCCTTCTTTATAGTCTTCTTCCTCCTCCCTCTCTTCCTCATGGGTCACAAATGTTCGACTTTTAATTATTGAACATTACAAAATGTAAGGTTTAAAAATAAAACAAATAAAGACTTATAGTAATGATATGTAATTTTAACGAGAGGGAATATGAACATTTTTCATGAAAGCAGAACACATTGTCAATGTCATGTTTAGAATCAAGTTTTTTCTTTAAACATTTCAATTTCAAATATGCAAACTTTATACATTAATTCATTAACAGAGACTTCATTTATTAACAGAGGCAACAGGGACAGCTTGTCTCTAAGATTCGCTGGCCCAGGAAGTTTGATTCGAACCTTTGCGTAGGCCGCCTGCATCCTGTGCTTATTGTTGTCCTCAACCGTTGTAACCGCCGTCAAGGTGTCAAAAACCACAAACGCCCTCTTAGAATTGTGGTTGGAACGTTTACGCTTTTATTGCACCTTCTAGAATGCATAGTGTGCATAGGTCAAAAGTTCAGGATGCTCTTTCACATGTCTGGTTTCATATGTATGAAAAGACCTATGGAAACATACATCCTTTCCATTTACAGCCAATTTAGCATTTTTGATC